GTCTACATCATAACTCAGCATTAAACGGATTAAACATTCTAAGAACGTTATATTCTCAACTATCCATAAATATGTTTGCTAATAATGAGCATATTAGTGATCCCATTTGCCCCAACCCCCATTTGTTTCTTTGTTTGTATTTTTTATTTTGAAATTTGAATATAGTGGTTGTTAGGCATGATTGTACATCTAAGATTTTTTCATTAACCGAGAGTTTGGTCCGATTTGTGAGCTGAGGACAAAAGTCCAGTTCATTCCTGAATGCATCCAGAGCTGTATTATTTGGGATATTAGTGCACAGACTGTTTATATAAGAACCTATCATTTTTTCATTTGAATTTCCTCTAAGCCTTTGTACACTAAATAAACTGTTTACAAAGATTACAAGATTGGCTAGCGGTTGCGCTATGTCGTGAATTGGAAGAAGTTAGAATTCATGGACTGGCCATTGGATTGGCGAGTTACAGTGGTTGAATGGTCTACGACCTCGCTCGTCTTGCAACCAGAAGGTCCTGAGTTCGGACTATGGTAGTGGGTGCGTACTGTGAAGAGTCCGAAACTAGGCTGACGAAACAGCTGCCTGTCAGCACTCCCAGGTTTTCCAATGGTTCTCTAACCAATGTCAGCTCATGATGAAATCCTGTAACCAATCAATCAAATCCCTACAAACCAACACTTGAATAGAAATATTTATTTAGCGTCTTCCAGAAAAATTGAATGCTCCTTACAACTTCATTAAAAATGTCTAGATCTGAACCAAACTATCAGCAACAAACCATCCTCAGAAAGCACAAGAATAGCCATCCTTTAATATACTTAGAATGTTTTTGAAAGAATGTTTAATAAAACCATTCAGAATAGATATAGCCCGTAAAGTAACACGGTCACTTCATTCAATACTATGCAGACCAAAAGAGCCCCCCACCGCCACCCAACGGCGAAAGAAGACAAAATTAACACCATCTACAAAACAGATCACATTTAATTGTGATAACCACATTATTGGTCAGAAAGTGAGTCCTCTTCACCTGCAAATCTAATGAAATAAACTAGCTGTCGAAAGACACGACATGTATTCTTTCATATCAATGCATGTAGGCAACTATGCACAGTAATTTTAAACAGATGAAACACCAGAAATTCCAAGTAATTCTTAGAAGCCTGTCACTCAGACAAATCAGAGATTAACAGATACATTACTATGGATCACATTTACTGACTGATAAAGAGTACACCACATGATGAAAAAATAAAGTCAAATTCAAAGTGGATAACAAACGATCAATACCAGCGTAAATTAACAATTATTTCACACTACAGTTTGCATTGAAGATATACAGAAGGATAAACAGTGAAAGGCTGGAGATCAATTGATCCAGCTCAGGGAACGTAGTCAGATCAAGAACTAGTTTTACACTCAAATAATCCTTATTACATGGAAATGGGTTGATGAGCAAAAGCTAATGTTATCTTATTGATTATTCTAAGGTACACATCGACTCCAGTTACCAACATCAGTTAAAGAAGCATTGGAAATCAGAGAAGAATAGAGAGTTGTTTCGATCTAGTTTGAGAGTTTTCAAGAACTCACACTCATGACCTTACCAGACATTGAACAATGAACCTTCAGCTTATTGAGTGAACAGGTTAATATTCAACCGAACAAGACTTAAAAACTAAACCATCGTTTAGTATTGACATCTTAGAGTACCAGCGGAAAGTCATGGCCAGTAAGGTTGATCAAACTGAGTATGAAAACAGATACTCATTGATTGGATTAGTTGGCGATGGCAACGCTCTGTAGCGAATAGATGAAAGTTGGAACTCAAGGGTTATTAGATTCCAACCTAGTGGCGGAATGGACAATGGCCTGGTCACATAATCCGAACGTCTTAAGTTCTACTTTTGGTATTGTCATAGGCATGTACTGCGGTGTATTTTACTGAGTGTTGATGATGTTCAGCCATAATAACTAGTTAATAAATATATGTGTGTTAACATCTAAAATTTCTTAAGCACCAGTGACAAATAATTATTCAAGAATAAAACGGACTCTGATTGTTAAAAGCTATTTAATTTTCGTCCTATTTTGGGGATCTTCATCAGTACGCACCCACCACCATAGACAGAAACCAGGGCCTTCTGTTTACAAGAACAGCGAGCTCTTAGACCATTCAGCTACTGGGAGCCAACCGGACTCAATGGCCATTCCATGAATTTTAGCTTCTGCCAATTCACGACATAGCGCGACCACTCAGAACTGTCTTCTTCGATGAGTAACTATCCTCACCTTTAACTTGCTGCATCCTACTGGTCACAGATTCCCACTAGAACCCCAGGTAACTAACTGCCTGAATAGGGCCAGTCGCTAGTGAGCATCACCTAAAAATAAACTTGATGCAGAAGTTAGAATTCATGGACTGGCCATTGAATTAGCGGGTCCCAGTGGCTGAATGGTCTACGAGCTCGCTGGTCTTGTAACCAGAAGGTCCTAGGTTCGGACTATGGTGGTGGGTGTGTACGGCTGAAGGGCCTGAAACTAGGATGAAACAGGTGGCCGTTGAGCACCCCTAGCTTTTCTAATGGTTTTCCAACTGATGTCAGCTCATGGTGAAATCCTCAAACCAATCAAAGAAAAATTCCCTACAAAACCAAAACTTGAAAATTTAATTGTGCCAATTACTGGAACTTTAATAGAATCAGGTTGTTCATGAAATAGGAGCTCCCGTCACATTAAGCTTATAACAAGCATCTTCTAGATGAATGACACAGAAGGCTGTGAATACTATCTTCATCAACAGATGATGGACTATCCCTCGTTTCCAACTAAAACTGTAGTGATGTTATCTAGCTGGTCATTTAGCGTTTTGATGTTGAAATTTCGTCTGTATATTCTTCATTTACTTAACTTCTAGACTAAATTCACGGCGACTGAAGTGAATCATCAGTCAGTTAGAGTAGCTTAGTTGATAGGTCATCAACCAGATATTCTGATGATGCCATCGCCAGGCATCTCCTTGATACGGGTCATGAGGTGGACGCCACAAGATCATTCAAAATTACCAATAGGCAAAAGAGTTCAATTATCCTGGAGTTTTCTGAAGCCATCTCCACCAAGTGCCTGAAAACTGATTTATGTGTTCAGAAAAAAGCGGTTATCAATCCTTCCTTACCCTGGTAACTTGATATTTTCACCCCTCTCTCATTTGAATACGTAATGCCGAAAGTTTCCATTGTGTATGATCATTATTGTTCGGAATAGTGTTTAGTGCTACTTTTATATATATATATATATAATTATATATATTATTATATATTATTATTATTATAATTATAATTATATATATTATATAATATATATAATTACTGTATGCATATATTGATTGGTTTTTGTTTAAAATGAACTTTCTGTTCAAGTATGTTAGAATTGATTCTGGAGATATACTTAATAATGTCTTTGGCCTGTAAGCGGCTGATGAGAAGCCGACGAAATAAACACTGATGGTACCATTTTATTCTGCGAAAACTACCGCTGTTGTTCTTGCTTTATTCAAATTCATTAAGGGGAATAAATGTATGGCATTCATTAAAGTTGGACGCATTCATTGGTTAACAAATAGAAGTCAGTCAACAAGTTGCTCATGCACTCGAAAATTTCTAGCATCTAATCATCTCAGGCTAGTCCGACTATAATATCCACCTCAGTGAATTGAGTTGCTGATAACTCCACTGAATTCCACTATAATTCTTATGCAAATATTACAATTGACGCTTGATTCAGGAGGTATGAAGGCAATTTCAGAGTAGATTTCTGTGGCTAAAATTATTTGTGGAAAGTGTGTGGGTCTGTCTGACTTTGACCGATATTGTAACATAATTTGAGCTTTAAACCCACATAATCACACCTTTGATGACACATGGTAGACATTGTAATAACACTTCGGTGATTAGTCATTCCTCTTTATTTAATTCTTGATATCGCTGTCTTTAGTTAATCATGATTGAAACTGGTGATTTTCTCACGCATGTTGGTGTCGTCAATCGTGAATGTGAACTGTTTAAATCCAAGTCCTTGATGGGTGATCAGTTTAAAGCACTAATACTTATCTACGGCCTACAACTGCATAAATTTTCTGATATCGGAGTAGGGTTGCTGAACCTTTTGGAACAAAATCTGACTGTTGCTCTAAATAACATATCCGTTAAGTATCAATGACTGATCAGCCTCGAGCATGGTGAGAGTTTACCTCAATTCGGATGCTGGGGTGTTCATGTTTCACCGAAAAGTCACATATTTTCACACTACATTCTGACCAGACCTCTCCTGGTCCTATTTCTACCACCCGTCGTACCTATTACGCATATAAAAGCAATCGATACTCACGGGAGATATCTGCATCATCCTGCTGACATTTTGGATGTCACAATAGGAACACAAACAAGGACATGACGCAAGAACCAACTACAAGGGCGTATACCTCATGACAAAAAGACAATAATTAGTAGTTTCCCACACCAGATATGCTACTAAACACATTCGGAATACAAAGTGAAAAATAAGCCGGAAATTCTGCCGACATCCCTTGTAACCACGACTCACTCTGCTTGTTGTGTGTTCTCTGTGTCAACCTGTGATAACTATGTTTTTACAATTCACGCCATATAACATCAAACAAATATCGATAGCTCAAAGAGCAGGAAGTTTATCATCATAGCACCGCTGTGCATCGGTGGTACATCGGTTAGGACTCTTGCCGACCGTGCACATGGTCTAGGGTTCGATCCCCTGCCGATGCACACCAAGGATATCAATGGTCAGCCTGCAAAATTTCGGCTACCGATATCATATGCTGAAAATTCCATACTTGTACCACCAAAAATACTATGTTGGTTTCAAGCTATAATCAAAATTCAATAAAAAGTAAATAAATTTTTTTAACAAATCGATATTTTGCCCCCCCACACACAAAAAAAAAAACTTACATGTAATGCATATTGAATAGTTTTCCCGTCTATAACAAGTCCAATAGGTTCATTTGCCATACCTGGTCTTTTCTTATGTTTTCGCCTAATATATGATTTACAATTTCTAGTGTCTATCCGTGGAGATACTTTATTAATGCTACTATTATTATTTTTACCATAATAGTAGACATCAGGTTTAAATTCATTATCAGTATTCGCATATGAATACGATTCTGCTATTGATGTCCGTGAGATTGTATCAGAGATGAAAGCTTGAACTCTTGGTAGAATGGAATCACCAACGAATGATAGTCTAGGCTGTTTAATTCCGCTTTGTTCATGAAACATGGGGGGTTGTAGACGTTGTAACTGTTCGTATATTTTATAAGCTGTTGACTGTAGATCTTGATAGCCTGTTAATCGTATCAGCGTCATATTTGATGTGAAATGTCCAACTGATTGACTTACTGTGATCGCTGTCTCTGCTTTATCTCCAGTTAATATCCATATCTGTAGAAGAGATAATTTTGTAAAAAACAAAAAGAAAATAACGCGATGATTATGCCTCAGATTCATGTTGTTTGTAAAAACAGAAAAAGAATTTTCATTATTGGTGAATTATATTGGTAGGTGATTATATGAATTCGTCATTAGAGAGTAGCCAACGGCTGTCGCCTCCAAAAATGAACTTCTACGGCCGGAGGGGAGCTGGACAGACTTTGGTATATGTGTAAAACTTGGGCACTGTGGTAGTATGGTAATTCCATATTAGTTTGTTTATTAGATATATCACACAGTGAAACAGTATTATTTACTGGATGACACAGTTTCAAACAAAATTCATTGTTCATAATCATCTCATCAATTATAATCACACTTCTTCGAAACTTGAGTTTTATAGCTTTCTTTGTCTTCTCCTATTAGTCGTCGTAGGGGTAGTAGAATTTTTCAGATATCTGGGTGGGCAGGTGTTGAATCATTCCTACTACACGTGTTTGCAGTTGATTCGATAAACAAGCTTCCTTCACCCTGTGACATTAGATTTTGAAACTGTCATCCTATCCCATCCCATCCTATGCTGTATGGTTGTGTGTAACTGCATGTAGTGAGTGCTATAGCTGAACTATTCTCTAGATTTCTTATCTTATTCGAGTCAACTAATCTAGATTTTGCTAAGTTTTTATGCTCGACTAGTCTGACTGCCCCTGTTCTACTACTTTGATCTATGTATTTGACCTGACAGTTATCGCAGGTAGGGTATTAGATAAACTAAATTGTTTTGTTTTAAAGGCTCCACAGGCAGGATCCTTCAACCGACAAAGCTTGTTTCTAATTGAGTTTGTGGGTGGTTTGAATGCCAGCCACTTTTATTGCTACGTTGTTAAGAATTCTGCGTAAACAGAAGCTTCGTTTATCGAATCAACTGCAAATACATGTAATAGGAATGATTCAACACCTGTCCCAGATATCTGGAAAATTCTACTACCCTAAAGACGACAAATAGGAGAGGACAAAGAAAACTATAAAACTCAAGTATCAAAGTCGTGTGATTATATTTGATATGATTATGAATGTATGTGTACGAAACTTTGTCATCCAGTAAATAATACTGTTTCACTGTGTGATACATATAATAAACAAACTAACATGGGGTAGACTTTTGTCTTCCTCTCGAAATGTTCACATGTGATCGTGAGTCTAAGGCCTCTAAGTCCTATTTGCTACCTTCCTGCGGTAAAGTAGGTCCCTCACAAAACTGAAAGCGGCTGGTGGACATGGTGGTCTACCTAGTCAGGGGTCTGGATAACCTTGACTCCAAACCTACAGTGTTCATGGGCTTCCGAATCAGAAAGGACCAAGTGACACATGCGCCCGTTTTAGTAATCGGAAACTATGAGAACGTAGCTTCTGACTGTGCGTCACTTGTTTGTCGACTCCTAAGACAACTACCTGCTTTGGTGTGCGTATCTAAGTAGTAGTATCTCAGCCCTCAAGGAAACTATGGGATTATGTGTGGGGCATCTCTCCATGTCCATAATAAACCAACTTTGCCTAGTCTCAAACCCGGAAGAAAGAGAAGGCTTGGCTTGGGACTAGCAAACTTACCCCGCAAAATCGCTCCAGATGATAGAGAAACTTCAGATATACAGAAAACATAAAATGATTGCTAGTATCGGAGGGATGGAATAATGTGGGTTGATGATGACCTACGAGAAATCAGTCAGCTAATGTATTTTCTTTCGATGAAAGAAAAAATAAGCATGAAGACATGGAATGTCCTCATGATGTTCAAAGCTGGTTGGGAAGATTGTTTTGATTGCCAAAGTGATGAGAAGTTACACTGTGGAAGTTCTAGGAACCTGTGGCAGTAGATGGAATGTAGATGGACTCTCTGAGTTATTAACTGCAGAGCCAATAATACACTCTGACCACCCAGACGACAACCACGAACACGTTGAAGGAGTGGCTATCATGATGTCACCAACAACAAAGAAGGTTCTTATGCAGTGGGAACCAGTCTACTTCGGGAATGTTAATGAGGCATTGGGAAGCCTGCTATAACGGACTGCAGAGAACAGGAGTTGTGCAACCGGAGCACTTTGTCCCAAACAGAACCCAAGGGAATAAAAATAACGAGAGAGCCCTCCGTATTGATTCTAAATGAATTCTATTAGTCAACCTTGAAAACTAGATGACTACCCATCAGCGGTGTAATTCGAATTGTCTTAGTTTGGTTAGATGTTATCCTTAGGAAGCCATGAACCAATCAGTGGATCTACTCTAAACCTAGAGAAGGTCAGTCTTGGGATTGAGTAGCTCAGTGATAACACCTCTGACCACAACACTGGTTCCAATGCTTCCTGCTAATTGTATCCAGCCACGTAGCACCGTTTCGAAGTAAGCGAATCAAATACTATTTCTATGTTTTCAAAATGTGTGTTAACTACTATGCAACACTGAAAACAATTTTCAGTTGGTAACTGCTTGAGTCTGTACCACTTTATTTCTGTCTTGTCAGTAGTATATCAGTGAAGTTTCTCATTTATCGGCACACTGTGGATCATTAGGTTGATGAAGTAGCTAAGTTTTCTAGGAAGGTGTAAAATGATAACAATGACCATCCGGAAAAAGCTTGATAATTCAAGGATATGTCATAATAGCATCTTAAAATCTTATTTAGGTTTTATTATGTTCTCCAAGCTAAATGGTTGAATCACGAAACTTCTGTTGTCTTCCTAGACTACTTGTTCAGTGCTAATTTCATATCACGATAGACTTTTTTGATAATATAGTCTTTTGTCTGTACATTTGATGAAACTCGTCGCATTGATGATTTTGGCTTAATCCTCCTCTACGGATGTATCTCTTGATCTAATTATTCGTGAAAGCAGAGCTTGTGCTGATTCTTGTGAGGAATTTATTTTTGATTGCATGGAGGATTTCATCATGAGCTGACATCAGTTAGAGAACCACTGTACTGCAGTTTCGTCCTAGTTTGTGACTCTTCAGCAGTACGCGCCCTACTCGAGAATTTATTTTTATCGGTTTGAAAATTTCTAGAGGTTATTTAAAAACATTTTTATATTTTCACAAGTTTCCGTTATACCGGTCCTGTAAATTCCGTTCTGGTACTGGAGATACTGTTTAAATGTATAATGGGATCCTCACAATCAGATCATTCAGCTCAGAGATCATAACGACAAGTGAAACGTCCACCTGAGCTACTTATTTTAAAATTAAGGCTGACTATTAGTGTTAAGACACTAATCATTTCTTGCATTTCGAGTGGAACATAGCGCTTAAGCGGCCCAGTCTTTATTCCATGTGGTTCTCTGCCATGAGATTCCACTGGTCCCGTGATTTCTCTTTCAGGCTTCTATTCCCTTTTCCATATGTCTCCCTCCTACTCACACCTAACACATCACTTCCCATTCCACAAGTCCTTAAGGACTTGAAATATAAAGTCACCTGAAGTTCTTCTCGGTGTATATTCAATCCCTCTTGGTTTTCTCCCAAATGTTCACTGGGTAAAATAGGTTGTCAGATGTTTCACTGCCTTCAGGAGTTCTTTGTTGTTGATCCTTACTGTCTGACCACCTGATCTTCAATATCCAGACAGAAAAGCCAGTGACACACTGTCCAACTCTCTGAAACACATGGAAGTAACACTGACTTGACAATGGTGCTGAAAAACCTAGATCCTTGTTCCTTGTTCTGAATCCCGTAGATCTCCCGTAGTGATTTCAGATTTTATGAACCACTCCTGTCTCCTCGTTATCTTGAACCTGGCTAGCTACAACACTTTGACCCACGTCGCTTGTATGTGAGAAGCTGTTTCTCACATAAGTGAAAGTGGAGGGTTCTTTTAGATTACTGCATTATCTTTAATTACTAACCTGCAATGGACTCATCAATTCAGATATTAGATTCATGATGTTGATCTTAAAGTAGTAAGCCAGTGGTTACATATTCCGATAATCTCAAAGTGAGTTAGCCGTGCATTTCAGTAATTTAGAATGATTCTCAACTACCCATATTAATTAATAGTATATACATTGATATAAGTTCAAAACTTGGGCACTGTGGTAGAGCAAAACTCCATTATAGATAAGATTTTATTTTGATAAATCACACAGTGTTACACAGTAATATTAACTGATGACCACGTTTCGAGCACAATCTGTTGCTCATGATCATATCAAGTTACTCACTGACACAACTTTTTCCTTCATTTATATACATGTGTGGAATTGACTAGATATATTTGAATAAAAATCAATATGGGATAATTTACACTCAGGAATAATAATTTGAGTGTTACTGATCAATTACAATCAGATGGGGAATAAGACGAGTGCTTTTATAGTCATAATAAGTGACTTGTTAGGATGTTGTGATGTACGTGAGATGAAATAGAATCTTAAGATTATTTATTATCCTCTTTTGATTTGACTGGCGGTAATAATATCTTCCATATCTCTGGTATTTGCATTGAGTCATTTCTGTTGGATGTGTTGGGTGTAGACTCGATGAACAAGGATTCAGTAAGCAACCTGTCTATCTCTCTCCACCTACCTAGATTACTTCTTAGAATATTGACCCTCTCTCACCCACCCTATTGGGTGGTTGTGTGTTAATGCATGTAGTGCAATCAATGATTTTTTTTCTAAATTGCTTATTTTCTTGGGGTCAGCCATTCCCACCTTAGCTAAATTCCTATGTTCCGACAATCTGATTACCCCCGACCTACTTTTTTGACCTATATAGTTGACCTCACAGTCATTGCAATAACACACAACCACACAATAGGATGGTGGGAGAGGGTTAAAATTCTAAGGAGTAATTTATGTAGGTGAAGAGAGAGATTGATTACTGAATCCTTGTTCATCGAGTCTACACCCAACACATCCAACAGAAATGACTCAATGCAAATACCAGAGATATGGAAGATATTATTACCGCCAGTCAAGTCAGAGTAGGATAATAAATAATCTCAAAATTCTATTTCGATTCACATACATCATAACATTCTAACAAGTTACTCATTTTGATTGTAAAGGCACTCGTCTTATTTCCTATCTGATTGTATTTGATCAATAACACTCGTATTATTATTTCTGAATGTAAATTATCCTATATTGGTTTTTATTCCAATATCTAATCGATTACACACATGTATATAAATGAAGGAAAAAGTTGTATGAGTAACTTGATATGATCATGACCAATAGACTGTGCTCGAAACATGGTCATCAGTTAAAATTACTGTAAAACAAACACTTTATAGTATATATATTTGATATTTTAACTCACTTGTATTCCTGCCTCTTTTAATGCTTGTATACAACTTTTCGCCCCAGGTTGCAGTTTATCCTCAATACCAGTAACAGCTATCGGTTTCATATCCGATTCAATTTTATAGTAACATTCTCTCAATGCACTGACACGAGATTGACCAATTAAACCAGAAGATGCTTTTAAATCATTAAGTAATTTCATGTAAGCGTCTTTCTCTAATTTACGTTCACCGAATACAAGTGTACGCAGACCATTGATAGCATATTCATTGACATATTTCAATGCAGAAGTACGTCGTTTACCAGAATTAACAGGACATTTCTATGGGAAGTTGAAAAACCAAAAAACAAAAACAAAAATGGTGAACAGGTACTTTCATATAATCGTTTAAAGTTTAAAAAATACATGGTATTCTGTTCAGATATTGATTAGCTTTCAAATTAGACCTCGGTTTTTGTATTCGTGACTTGTAACTTACACAGTTCAAGGTGAAATTGCATCACTGTTTCCATTGGCAACCAAAAGTATTCAGATCACTATACAATATGGGATCTGCTGGATAAAAAAAGTGGCAATCAAGAAACCAGACATAAATGACTGAGTGATATGAGTATCTGAACATCACTCACATCAGCCTCGTTTGTTTAATGCAGAGCTCTTCACAGGCGTACCCGGTTTGATTTGGCTGAGAGATCTGAATTAGTTGAAAGCAACTGAGCACGCCTCTGAGGAGCTCAGCCTCAAGCGTCGGTGGCACAGTGGTTAGGACTCTCGCCGACCATGCACATGGTCCGGGGTTCGATCCCCTGCCGGCGCACACCCGATATCTATGGTATGCCTGAATTTGGGCAACCGATATCCATGCTGAAAATTCCATACTTGTACTGAAAATACGGTGTGGAATCAAGCTGTAAATCAAAAAAAAAGCGCGAGAGAGAAGGTCATCCTGTGTTTAGATCACTTCTATCTGGCTAGCTGGCGAGAACTACTGTAACGACAGAAGACAATGGCTAGGCAACAGATCATTTATTGAAAAAAATCAAGAGGTATTTATAGATTTTTATGTGCATTATTATTATTAGCGTTATTGTTAGCGGAGAAGCAAACTCTTCTGATTGATTGTTTTCTTGCTCAAGGTTATTCTGTCATCTCTTTGTGGCCGTTTCTTAGAAAATCAAGTCATCATATATCTGTGAATCTTATTTCCACACTTTAACTCCGCTGTGATTGGCTGGTGAGGCCTTGTTACTGTTTGCTTTTCCCTCATGAGCCTGATTTAGGACGTGAACATCGATGTAAATTGTTGTCTACAATTTTGGCTTGTAGAAAGCTCTCACCACCATTCATAACAATCAATCAGCGGTATACAGCATGAGAAAATACAGTATTACGAGTCAATATTAATCAAAGAAACCACTGGGAAGTAATCATAAATGAACAAGTGTTTGTTTTATTCTGGTTTGGGGCTGTTTCGACTTCTGCATCATTCATGAAGAAATCATTTGTCTGTTAAACATTTAGGAATCTTCAAGTGTTGGTTTGTAGGGATTTGATTGGTTACAGGATTTTCATCATGAGCTAACATCAGTTAGAGAACCATTGGAAAACCAACTGGGAGAACTGGACAGCTGTTTTGTCCTAGCTTGGGACTCTTCATCGGTACGCACCCACCGGGATTCGAACCCAGGAATCTCACTATTAAATATAACAAGTTTTAAAGCCTAGAAACGTTCCATTTATATTTATAAATAATGATGGTGAGATCATTTTTGTAAGAGGCAAAATGAAAATGTGGACTTCGGCACATTTCTAACTAGTGATCTCTCTATCAGAAGAATACATAATTTCAGACAAATGATGGTCTGCCTTGCAGTCTGTTTTTCCTGTCTTAGTTGATAGAGATTAGGATAAGCAGTTGAGAGGTCTCTGTCTCGAATTGGGTCATGAGTTACGCTTCCCTTTTACCTTCAATCACCACCGAATACATATATTTACATATATATTTAGATGAATCTCTTCAAATCTTCTTATATCACGTATTATAAACATTTTTTCCTTCACTTTCCCTAGTGGAACATAGGGCTTCAAGCCACTGGCTTGAAGTTTCTGTAGCAGTGTTTATTTTAAAGGATGAGATTGCTAGCCTCATGCCCAACCTTTCCTCTTCACCAGCATTATTTCTGGTTCAGTGAGGTAAAGGAGTGCGTCGGTGGCCGCGGATCGAACCCCAGACCATGTGCATGGTCGGCGAGCGTCCTAACGCTATGCCACCAACGCAGTATAAACGTTAGTTCATTGTAATTATATTAAAAAGACGGTTGCAGCGAAGAAAATTTTCTTCTCGACAAAGTCATCAACACTAGGCTGTACATTCGTGTAATTATAGTTAATGGGTGAAAAAATTCCTGAATTATTTCCGGTCAAGAGGCAAATAAATGAAATTACAAAGTGTAATAAACAGTAAGACTGGATAGAAAAACATAGCAGGATCATAATTATTGTAAAAATTGACCTATTTGTGCATTTAGGGATCAAAAATATGGAAGAAGTAGTAGTAGGAAAATATGCAGGAAGTTCGGATAAAAACATAATAGCGCAGATAAGAATTTAAAAAAACGTGAAAATAACAGAAATAAGCCTGAAGACAGGATAAGAAAGTTAATGGAGAATTGATATTATTGTAACTGCTATGGCAGGGACGCGTCGGTGGCATAGCGGTTAGGACGCTTGCCGACCATGTACATGGTCCGGGATTTGATCCCCGGCCCACGCACTTCTTTACGTCGCTAAGCCAGAAATAATCCTGGTGAAGAATAAAGGTTGGGTATGAGGCTAGCAACCCTATCCTGTAAAATAAACACTGCTACAGAAACTAGCTTGAAGTCCTATGTTCCACTGGGGAACGTGAAGGAAATAAAAAAAATGGCAGGGACAACGGTTCGACGTATTTCTATTGAATACAAAGCGTGGGCTTGAAGGTTTTGATGGCTAGTGCCTCAGCTATGCCCAGACGCATTGATTTCACTCCCTCTGATAGGTTTGGTCGGATCTTCTGTATGAATTTGAAGGAATTTTCAAATGGAACTGGATGTATCTAATTGACAAGATGTTGTTTTACTGAACTATACACACACACTTGACTTCTCTCTGGGCTAACCATGCTGGAAAGTGTCTCCGAGTGCATTTTACAAGCTGACGCATAGCACTGTCTATATACTCAGCTCTACACGAGCAAGTGAATTATTGGTACATGCATGCCGAAGTGACCCAATGTGACAGCTTGTCTTTCACAGACTGGTTGAACAATTTCTTGCAAGAAAATTTCACTGGCAGCCTAGCGGCTAAGTATAATGTTTAGTATCAAAACATCTGCTGACCACCTCTATTTGAAAAGTCATTCAAAGTTATATCCAGGATCTGATCTAACCGATCAGAGTGAGTGAGATCAAGGCAACTTGGCATAGCTGAGGCAACAACGATCAAAATGTTCATGCCCATGTTTTACTCATGTACATAAATGAATGAAGCAAGGAAGTTTTCTGAGTAGTGAATTGATATGTTTATGAGCAGTGGCAACAAATTGTGTTTGAAACATGGTCATCAGTTAATATTACTGTATAACAAACACTGTGTGTGAATTTGTCAAAATAAAGTTTTATGCATAATGGAGTTATACTTTACTCTTATATCAACAACGCGCTATAAAAAGGGTGATGTTCAGATAGGAAGCAATTGGAAGGTGTATGAAGAACTGAAAACTAAGATTACTATGGATTACATTACAGCTGCTTTACTATAATAAAAATAATTAATTATCAGAGAGAAGACAGGGGCAAAGAACACTATCCGGCGCGGCTGCAGAAAGGAATCAGTGGCCGTATAAGGAGTGCAATAATCGAACATCTCGTCACCACTATAGGTCATTCCATCTCAACAAACGCCTCCTGCTTCAAAATAATCTACAAAGTGAAGAACAACCTGCCAAAGACAATACATTTCCGTCTTCTCTTTGAATTGCAGAAGCCCTAGCTACTCAGTTAGAAGAATCAGAAGTTTGCATACAAAAGAAAATTATTCAGCCACTTCTAATATCATGGTAACAAGTCTGTTGATTTGACTTAACGTTTGCTTGTATGCTTAATTTTCTAGCTACTTAAAACTCCTGCGTAATTCCGTATTTTATTTTGTTTCCATGTACACCCTGAGTACAACTCTCTCATCAAACTATTCATGTTATCACATAACTCTTCTTTAACAATCGTTTGTGACAACTCATCAATTTTGTTACCACTACCCTCTTATATCAACATCCAATTCATCTGAACTCACTAACTGTGTTTTAGTTTGGCAAATTTTATGTACGCATGCACACATACAAAACAACCATATGTATAAGAATAAAACTTGTGCACTGCTGCTTTATTTAGAATCCTACGTAGGGTCTCAGATGTCCCCTCTTTATATGGTATGACTGTATATGACTTATATTCTCTCTTATTTATGTTATCGTTACTAGTTTCACAATTCTTTTTAGCAGGAATTAGGGTGGCATCAAAACCAACAAACTCATTCAGGGACAAGCTCTGTAGGTCAAAGGACCCTGTAGGTTTACCCAATTACAAAAATAAAAAAATTTACAAAATACCTTGCAATGACTGTGAGTGTGGTCGACTGCATATGTCAAACTAGTAGTTCAGGGGTAGTCAGATTGTCAGAACATAAGAATTTAGCTAAGGTAAGAATGGTTGATCCCACCCGCGAAAATAAGTAATTTGGAGAGAAGCTCAGCAATTGAATGGTTGACCGCACGAAGATAAGTAACTTACAAAAAGATCACCAACTGCACTGCATGCAGTAACACACAAGCACACAATAGGGTGGGAGAGGGTTAAAATTCTAAATAGTAATCTAGGTAAGTGGAGAGGGAGGTTGATTACTGAATCCTGGTTCATCAAATCTACACCCAACCCATGCAATAGAAATGATTCATCACTCATACCCGAGATATGGAAAATAATACTACCAATCAAATCAAGTGAAAATCAAGTGAAAAACAATGGAACTATATAAATGAATTTAGGAAGTCGTGTGATTAACTTGATATGATTATGAGCAATAAATTGTGCTCGAAACGTCATCAGTAAATATTACTGTATAACACTGTGAGACTTTATCAAAACAAAATATACCCATAATGGAACAACCAAATATATCTGCGATTGTACAGCTATGAAAAAGAATTCGCCGAAAAGAGACTCTTCTCTGAACTATTGATCTTCTGCCTATCAATGGTCGATTGGGGATTTTTCATGAATTTTAGA